CACCCCTGTGTGTGGACCCCTGCATCCCTGCCCTCGCTCTGTTCACAGCCAGGAGAGGTTTCTCTCGAGCTCTGGGACAGGAAAGCAGAACAATTCAGGCTTTGCTGTTGTGGGACACTGTGAGGTGTTCGAGTTTTGGGTACTGGAAGAGGAGCCAGGATGTTGCAGCCCATGGCACCGCAGCATCAGGGAGCACAAAACAGCCCCAAATGGATCTGCTACGTGAGGGCGCCCGGTGCCTTGGCTGCATTACAGGGGCTGCAGAACGGGCTGTGAGCTTGGCCAAGGGCACAAATTGCAGAATAATTTAGCTTGGAAGGGACCAGTACGGGCCAGGAGAGCAGGCACGGGGGTAGTAACCAGCTCTCTATTGCAGATGCCAAGGAACCAGGGGAATATCTTGGTCTCGTCACACTGGCGGAAAGGGGAGGCAGCTCCCTGCCTTCCCCACGGTCACCCAATGGCTGGACTGGAAGGGACGTGCCTTGGGCCTGGACCTGAGTGCCACCATAGCCTGGTTGGGGTCCCCCATTCTCACCTACCCCTCAGCTCGCTCTGGGCTCTGTGTCCTGAGAGCCAGGACAGAGAGGGGCAGGCACCGCCAGCCCGGCCTGGCCACCCCAAGGAATTTGGGGTACCCCAACCAGCTGGAAGGTGAAGCTGTCCCCTCCTGCCTGTGTTTGGCAGGAGCTGGGGGTGCACCGTGCTGCGGGACAGGGCCCAGCGCAGGCCCTGAGCCCCCTCTGTGCCCACCTCCATATCAGCAGCGTTTTGGTGACTTCTCTCTGTGAAGGACCAGGGCCCTGGCTCACGCATGGACCCCTTGGGAATAAATTGGAGCACGCTTTGCACGCTTTGGGGGAGCAGAGGTGGCATTTTTTGGCAGGCTGGCTGTTCAGCGATTAGGCTGTAGAACTCTGCTTACTCTTAAGAGTAATAAGAGACAGAAGTAAAAAAAATAATATGTATTTTTATATACACACACAGAGTAAAAGAATAAACAAAACAGGGGAAAAAAAAACCCCTACCCTGTGGTTTTCATTAGACAAAACCTCGGCTGACATCAGGTAGGGGAAAGCCAGCGTTTCAATGCAAGCACGGATGTAAACACCACCCCTTTTTGTTTTAATTCTGCTTTCCCTTCAAGTCTTCTGTAAGAAGAAGCTGCTTCGCTCACACTGCTCTGTGTCAGCTGCAGTTCACCCCCATTTCAGGTGGCAAAGTGGCACCGCTGCGTTCCAAGACTCCAGCCTGGCCTAAGAAACCCTGGCTCAAACCAAAGAGACCAAACCCCCGAATGAACAGGAGCAGCTCCCCTCGTTGTGAGAGCAGGACGGTGCCACCACACAGGCGTATTTCTCTGCTAAGGGAGGAAAAATGTCAAGCCGCCTTATCTGCGCTCACGAAAGCCAAGGAAACCTTTCTGCCTCTGGGAAATAAAAGGCAACGGCTTTGGATAGAAATCAAAACTCTTATTGCATTGCCATTTGGAGGATCAATATGGAAAGGGCAAAGGCTTTTGAATGCTATTGGGGAGAAATCAGTATTTGTTAGAGTTCTTTTTAAAGAGGTTTTTTTTTTTGTCCCTTCGTGTCTATCAGCAATCTCCTGATTAGGGTGTTTGGACATAGGTAAAACCAGCATCTGCTGGGAGAGGACCAGAGATGGGGGACGTTTCCTCACCAGCCCCGCGAGCTGCCCCAAATGAACACGGGGCAGAAGAAATCCAGCACGAATGCCCAAAGGAAAATTAAATACGGGGAAGAGGAGAAAAGCTTGCAAAGGTTTGCTTTTCTCACTGAAAAGGTCCCGTTTGAAAACTCTTCCTCCGCAAGTGCCCTCGGTTAGAAAAAAAACAACAAAGAAATAACCCACAAAACCCAAATCAAGACAAAGGAAGTACTCATCCTGTCCCAGACCGGTATTTCCCATTAACCCCAGTCAGCACCATGTGCAGCACAACCTGCTTTTGCCTCTTTGTTGCCCAAGCTCTTCCCAAAAGCGGGGGGCAGTTGGCGAGACCCCACTGCTCCCTCCAGGAGCACATCACCAAGCGCAGGCTGGAAAGCCTTCCCGTCTCCTCGCCTCCCAGTTCCTCCAGTTAACCAGGTCTGGATGCTGGGCTGAGACCCATGGGCAGGGTGGGAGAGAGGAGCTGTGTCGGAGCAGACCTTTGGTTGGTTTCATCATCCGCAGCGGGATGGGATGGAGGGGGTGGGCGAGGACGAGAGGACAACCCAGGCGTCTCTCGGGGTTAACGCAGAGTCCAACGAGGTGTAGCAGCTTCTCCACAGCCTCAGCAAGGTTGGGAGGAGGGAGATGGGCAGGGGATGGATGGAGACTGGTGAGGTGAAAGATGCTCATCCACCAGACACCGACCCCGGAGGAACCTGGGACAACGGGAGAGGAAGGGGGAGAGAGAAGCAGAGAGGTTGGTATTCCACAGAGAAACGCTGGGAAAGCCTGCGAGAGCTTTGTTATCTCAAACTGAGAATGTCCCAGTCTAGGAGCACAGGCGACTTTCATTTGTGACTTTAAGTTATTCCTCTATGCAGTAAAAACCCCTTAGCTTAAACCTCCTCTGAGCACTGGAGTCACACAGCGAAGGATCTCTCTTAGAGACTCCTTTTTCCCTTCACCTGGTGACCGTTCTCAATACACAGATGTTGGGATTTGCTTTGCCACTGGTCCCCAAGGCCCTGCCTCAACCAGCAGCGAGCACCTGAGACCCAGGCCTGGGGATGCTGGTTTGCCCTGGGCAGAGGTGATCTCCTCAATCCGAACCCCTTTGGGTGCTCCTTTGAACCACGGTACTTCAAAAGGGGCAAAGAGGAGGAGAGCGGTGGCCCTGTCCCCCTCTCGTGCCCCTTCAGCCACTCACCGCAGCGGGGACGGGTGCTATACGGCCGTGCACACCGTGCTGACTGTGAACTCCGTCTCGTTGGCCATGATGTCCGTGGGCTGCAGGTTGCGGTCGTACATGGGGTTCTCAAACGTTGCTCGGACGTTGGTGTTTTCATGGCCTGCGTAGCCATTGAATGGGACTTTTGGTCTTCTCCTGCAGGATGCCAGAGAGAAAACCCAGAGAGGTTTGGGTTTGCAGGACTGGAAGCTGAACAGCCCTGACAAGGGGGCAGGGGAAAGGAAAAAAGCTGCTTTTGAAGCAGGGGAGATATATATATATATAAGGGATCTATAGAAAAATCTGACTGGAAGTTTGTAGCACAGGGAGCTCCTGGGACTTTGCTACAGCCCCAAGCGTGCTCCCTCGGCAGAGTGGCACCGTGCTTTGCAGCACAGCAATATTTCCACGGCAGAGCATCGATCAGGAGCTGTAACCAACTCACAGCGTATGCAAAGCCAGCTCCAACGCTCGAGGATGAAATTTACTTTGCCTTATCCTACTCAATGTTGCCACAAATCTTATTAATGGCCATAAAAGCCCTCAACGCTCTCCTCTCCTAACACCCTCTCCCCTCTGTGCATGCTCGCTCTGTTATTTTTTCACCTGCTGAATTAAATGAGAAACCAGGTCCAGGGGAGCACATTTGAGTCAAGCTCTGAGGTATTTCTGTCAGCCCCCGATTTTGTGTCACCTGCTGGCACCGCTCCCCAAACCTACCTGTGTTTGTAGAGATAAAGCACAAACCCTGCAATAATCAGGGCGATGAAAGGCACAAGAATGGCAGCTGCCACTGAACTGCTGTTGGATGCAAAATGGTGTCCTATCGATTCCGGATCGTTTTCCATCATGCTGATGTCTGAAACACAGCAGAAGTAAAAGCATTTCAAAACAGCACTGCGGGATCGGGTGTGAGTTACAGGTTGCATCTTCAACACCAGCACATGGCAATCAAAAGGCTCTGAGCTGCATGAAAACCAGTCTGGAGATCAGGCCTGGCTTAGCCATCATCACTTATTTAGAACTGCAATTAAAGAGAGATGTAAATAGATTAATCTTCCCAAAATGCTCAGAAGTTAGGCTTTAAGGGAGACTTTCAAAGGCTGCAATAACGAGCATTTTAATTCTCCATAAACATGACCAGACTCCAGGGTCACCTTCCAAAAACCCTAAGAGATTGCAGAGCTCAGGCCACATTTAAGAGGTATTTAGGAGCTTGGACTTTTGGCTGTTTAAGCTCTCAAGTGCCTCTGTGATGGATGGAGACACTTCTTGTGGCAGCAATGGGACTTGGGCTTTTAGGTCAGAAATGTGGCATCATGTGGATTTAAAACTGTCCAGGTGCTGTTTGTGTCTTTGAACCAAAACATGATTATTTAAATGCCTTGCTTTGTTCCCAAATCAAAAACTTTGCTGTTGTGTAGTTCCATCTCACACAAATCTTACGCTGAGGAAGATTTCCCTGCTTGAACACCTCCACTACCACCAAAATCCTGCTTGTAGCAATCAAGGAACCTTACCAAGTCTCTGGAGGCCAAACTGCCCGAAGCCTTTGCCCCGCACGAAGCCCTGGTACACGAACGTGCCGCTGGACGACTCCGACGAGACCTGCAACGACCACAGAGCAGAGATCAACACATTTGTTCAGCGCTTCCTTGGGATTTTAGCACCCATGGCGCCACGGGCTCTTCCAAGTTCACACACTGCATTAATTTGGTTCAATTCCCCAGAAAATCGGGGTGTTTTTTAAGAAGTCTGCTCAATGACTTGTTAAGACTCTCACAACTCAAAGGAAGGGGGAAAATAATCTTGTTTGCAATAAACTATAGAGCATTTGATGATTCATCACAGATAGCGAAGGCTCTGGGCTACAACCAGCCACGGGTCAGGCAGCTGTGTGTTTCTTCCAAGCTCCAGTGGAGCTCTTAGGGGCATGGGACGTTTCCAGACACAGAAATTGGGGTGAGAAGTTGACTCCCATAAGGGAAGAGCAGATCTTCCAGCTTGATGTTTAGCAGAGAGAAAATGCAAACATGGAACTAATGGCGTTGGCTTCTCCTTTAGTGTTATCAGGAAGACTTAAAAGATTTAAAACCACGGGGTGATAAAAAACCACACAGCTGCAAGGAAGAACAAACTGTCATGTAATGTTATTTTGCGTGCTGGAAAAATGCCCTGTGTCCCCTTCAAGCCATGAGGCCACTGGAGGCCACCAGCCCCATCCTGCCACCAGCTAAGGGTGACCTTCCTACAGCTTCGGTGACAAAAAAGCTGGGATGGGGACAGCGACGGGAGGAGTTTTGTGTGAGGACTTTGAGTACGTGGTGCCCGTGCACTTACGTGTCCATCCAGAGCCCATTTATCGTTTTTGAACTTGTTGACGAAGATCTCCACCGGCCCCGTTATCTGGTAAACCTGGAGAAGCAGGTGCACATCTTCCTTCTTGTAAATGCCTGAAAAACAAGAGGCTTTTAGTCACTAAATCACGATGACTCTCTGAGTCGGAAGTAACTTTCTACCTCGCTCTGCGAGGCCACTTCTGAGGAGTTTAAATCCCAAAAAGGCCACGTCCTGTCCCTTACCGGACACCTGGAGCTCCACGCCGCTGTGGTCTATCAGCGTGGCGTTGACTTTACTGGTGGCAGGGTCGAAGCTGGTGACAGACAGCATGGCGGGCTGCTTCTTCCCCATGTACTCGTAGGAGCCTTTCCAAAGGGAATTCCTCGCAAACACATCAGCAGGCACTAGAAACCGCAGCGATGGGGATGCAGAAGAAAAACAAGAGCATTGCCATTTATTTCCATTTTTTCAGAAATCAAAATAGAGCAAATTTCTGCCTTGCTTTGCATTCACAAATGTGTATTCAAGTATCTCAAATCCCGCCCACTCTCCGCGCTATCATCGCTGAGAGCAAAAGCCAAAGAGAGGAGAACAAACAAGCTGATGACTTTAATTTCGTTGTTTTGACGGAAAAATGCCTCTGAAGTTTTAAAAACAAACCAACCCCCAAAATAATTTCTTAGGAAAGCTAACAAAACTCTTTTTTTTAAAAAAAAAGGTCTAATATAAGATATCCTAGAGAGCTCCAGAGTGCCCTGGGGATGCTGGTGCCCAACTCCCTTAGGGCTCCTGTCCACTCTGCAGTGGAGCATGAACAGGATGGGGCCTGGGGGCTGCGTTCACCAGCCCAGCAGCTTCATGGGGTTGGACCTGGGAAGGTGCAGGTCCAGCACTAATGTGTCCACTTCAATTGGAGAAGAAACTTCTTCTCAGTGAGGGTGACAGAGCCCTGGCCCAGGCTGCCCAGAGAGGTTGTGGAGTCTCCTTCTCTGCAGACATTCAAAACCCGCCTGGACGCCTTCCTGTGTAACCTCATCTGGTGTTCCTGCTCCGGCAGGGGGATTGGACTGGATGAGCTTTGGAGGTCCCTTCCAATCCCTAATGCTCTGTGTTCTGTGTGATTCTGTGAAAAGCAGACCCTGCTACGGTACCTGACACCTTGGCGAGCGGCGGGTCCCGCGCGGTGCCCACCGGCCTCCCGCTGGGGCGGACGTCAGCTGAAAGAGAGGGGAAACTGGTGAACTGGTGGTGTCTGAGACTGCTGAGACACTTCTGGTGCTGACAGAGGACAGGGCTCATGCGTGGCCGCACATCCCTGTGTGCAAGGGTTTTGGGTGGTGCAATGGCTCAGCCCATGGAAACAGCACAAAGCTTTCATTTACTGTCCTCCCCCACCATCTGCTCCACACCAAAGTGTCCAGAGGGAGCCACCACACTCTGTGAGAGCCACACAGCTGTTTTATTAGACCATTACATGGTCCTGACCTCAGACTCTGAGGTAGGCATAAGGTGGGCGAGGTAAGGAGCAACCTTTGCCTTGTGTGGATGCTTTTAGATCTGAACCACCCCTGTGGTCCCTGCTTCAGCCCAGCCATGCAAACGCACGACTCCTGGTGCACTGGTCTAAGGGAGGAGCTGGTTTCTCTTGGGCTGCTATGCTCCCCCCTGCAGAGATGTACACAAACACGAAAGCAGAGCTTTTACCGAGGCAGATGGGTGGTTTTCCTGTCCAGCTGCCATCTGCTTTGCAGGTTCGATGCTCAGATCCCCCGGTGAGATAGTACCCGCTCTGACAGGAGTAGATCAAGGTGTAGCCCAGCGATGGCAAATCCAAAGCACCGACGTTGGCGTGGGACGGCGTCTCCGGCTGCTTGCAGTGGTGAGCTGAAAGCACCAGGACAACAGGGATGAGTGACCCCATCTACACGTGCACAGAACGACAGAGGAGTGACACCGCGATGTCAACGGGGACAGAAATCCCTTAGAAAAGCTGTTTTCAGGCAAAGCTGCCTCTGCTCACTGAGGGAGGCAGTGCCATGCCTGGGTTTTTCTCCAATAAATGAATTAATGACACCACTTTCCATGCTTTGCTGGCCAGATTGTGCTTTCTGCCTAAAGCTCACCCAGTTCCAGCTTCCAGAACTGAAGATCAGGCCCTTTTACAGAAGAAAAGTCAAAACCAAATGATGCTAAAGACACCTTCATCCTTCCTTTGAACTCAGCACTGTGTCCCAGGTCCATCTGCAGACCCAAAACTGCTGTTCCAGGACATCAAGACCCAGTAGATTAAACCAGTGATCCCAGTGAGCGCATGACAGACCTGGTTTTGTACAACCTCTCTTCATAGCACCAGCATCCTGCTAATCATCTGCACCTACCTGTCCACAGGATCACACAGCAAGTCCTCAAGTGTGCAATAGTCATAAATTCCTGTAATTGCTCAGTAACTTTCAGGATTTGGCCCACAGAAACAGAGCTTGTCCAGCTCCCTGCCACCAAGGCGAGCGTGAGCCTGTGCTGCTCTATCAGGTCCCGTTGTAAATGCGCCACCACTTTCCTTGAGAAGTTACGACACAAGATGAATAAATCAGAGCGCTCCCTCGCACCCACGCTGTAAATTTGCCCTTTCTGTAGCTCTCAAACCGCTCATGAATGAAAACAAATCCTCGGCAGCTCTCATGAGGTATTATCTTCATCCTCGTTTTACGGCACATGAAATATAAAACCCAGGAAGCTGAAAGACCAACCCAAAATCGCACGGTCTGCGGGCCCTGGTTGCGAGCCCACAGCCCAGCTCGGAGGCAGCAGATCAGCGCTCATTACCAGCATCTGCATCCAACTCCACGCTGCGGATGGAGAGGGCTTTACCCAAACCCTAAAGGCAAGAGCTCAGCAGAGCCCTAGCTGGCAGGGGTGAGCCAAAATCATCTTCTGCTTCAATGCACTGAGCACCAGGAGCAAAATCTCATGTACAGCCACGGCTGCTGCTGCACCCCTGCAGCCCAGAATTCACCTACAGGGTTTGCTAGTGGAAAAAATCTCACCAATAAACCTCCTCAAAGGGGAAAATTACAGCATCATTTGGTTGGAAAGGACCTTTAAGATCATTGAGTCCAACCATAACCTAAAGCTTTTTAGTAATTCGGATACGGAGACCATGATGGGTATTACCACTTATACATATTAAACTCCTGATGTAGCAGGGAAAAAATGATGGACAGCTTAAAAGAAAGAGCACCAGGTTATTAAAGATGAGGAGAAACTCGGCTGTGCTTTAAAGCCCTTCTGGCTAAATGTTAACCCTGGTCCCTGGAGCGTGGGCTCACATCTCTGCCAGCAAAGGCAGTTTCAGGAGCATAAAGCAAAGCCTCACCTGAAACCAGGTCTGAGAGGAAGGGACAATTAAAACTGAACTCAGAACAATTAAACAGGGACAATTAACAGGGACAATTAAAACTGAACTCAGAAGCAGCTGCTGGTAAAGTCACGTCAGGAGAGAAGTGATTGCGTGATCTCTTTTTACTTCAGGAATATGGTATTGCAGAGCTCTCCCCCAAATTCCCAGCTCTTCAGAGCCAGCAATTTGCACGGTGAAGCACAGTAACAAAACAAGGCAAATGGCAGGAGGCACCGGTTTCCTCTGCCAAAAGCTCTGCCAGGACTTACGGACGCAGTTGGGCTGCACGCCGCTCCACGTCAGGTTGGGGAGGCAGGTCCTGGTGGTGGAGCCCTGCAGCAGGTATCCCTTCTGGCACTTGAAAAAGATGACGCTCCCAACCTGTTTCAACGGGAGAGGAAGCCCTGAACTTCCCAGCGCAATGGGATTCGCCCGTTATACAAAAATACTTCAATAATTTCCCATTTTCTATACGCCGGAGGGGGGAGTCGCCTGCTTTCTGCACTCACCGCCCTGCCCGTCTGGTGTTGAGAAAGCTCTGAGCCCCTGGAAAGCTGCGACCTTTAACTGCGCAGGGAGTCGCTGCTTTTAGTGACACAGGCAAGGCTGCTTTGGCTTCTAAATACACCCAAAGCTCGCATCAAACAGAGGTGATATTAGAAATGTGCTGAAACGTTTGACAAAAGGGATATTCAAAATAACTCGTACCAACAAACACCCTGCAGCTCAACCAGAAATGCCAATTTGAGCTGTGAATAGCAAAAAGGATGATAAACACCCGAACACTGACTTTTCAACATTTCTGAGGTTTGCTTACCTTTTGTAGACTATTCATTTTCAACCAAATTCTTATTTCAAGCACACCCTTGTCATCTAATGGAGCTCACTCCCTGCCCCAGACAGCTTGGCAGTGTGATGCTGTTTGGCTAGGAGGGCTGTTATTGCAACTGGATTGGCTTGAAAACCAGAATATACTGGAACAAAATTGCCAAGCAGGGGTTTTAGTGCCTTTTCCATCCCCCCTAGCAAGGCTGTAGCACGTGGGTCACCTCCTGCAGCCGGGTTTTACCCCCCCATTGCTCCTGGACTGGCTGCTGTGGTCCCCTGGGTATCACAGCCGAAGTCACCCCCTCCTCATGACACCCTGCTCATCCCTGCATCAGCCCCTGAGGTGTGCAGCTCTCAGCCTGGCCACTCTTGTAAGAGTCAGATTTATGGTGTCTCGGTATTAATTAAAACCCAGAATTGATTCATTAAAACCCAGGACCAAGATCACTAATTAGCAGCAGAACTGAAAGATCTGCTCTGGCGGGAGCACCAGCACAGAACGAACCATCCCGGCCCCGCGCCCGGCTCCGTCACGGCAGGGAGTGGCACCCGCGGGGACGGCAGCGGAGGACGGAGATGGAGCACCCCAGGGAACCGCGTTGGCTTTTTCTCTCCACTGATTTCACACTGTATGGGAGCCGAGATTAAGAAAACGGCCCATGGAATTTGGTCTGGAAATGAATAGAAATGATGTCTCCAATGTGAATACTAATGGCACTGGTATCTACTAATTAGCACTGTAATTAATATATTAAACAACACATTGCTAGTTAATCCCATACAAATGCACTCTGAGGTCTATCAGCCCAGGGAATGTCCTGCTCACGGGAGGACACCTTAAACCACGCAAGGATTTGGACGTGGGTTAACCACAGCGAGTACCGGGGGTGCAGAAATGTGGTCCCCGCTGCCGTGGCCGTACCTGGTAGCCCTGGGAGTTGTTCTGCATCCCGAAAAGCGGCACGCCGGGGTCCGCGCACGTCGTCAGGCTGGGGTCTGCAAAGCAAAGCAAAGCAAAGCACAGAGGCAGCGCTTTAACGGAGCAGTTGTGAGAGCCATGGTGGAGCTCTGCCTTCCCCCGCTCTCCACTGAGAGACCACGCTTTGCGACGAGACAGAAATATTTAGCTACAGAAGGAATACATAGCAACAAGGAAAAACACACGGATCTTTTTGTTTCTTAAATCCCTGGCTGCTGCAACGCAAACTAACCAGAGGCACTGTCACCCAGGAGAAAACATAAGAACACAAATCTTGTTTCAGGGACAACTCCTTTCGTTTCCTCTGTTCTGTACACGATGAGCAAAGCCCTCAGCTCACCACCGCTGCCACTGGCCACCCCCTCACCACAGCGACAGACGTGAGGCTGGAAATTGTAATGAATCTCAGATACACCATTTCTCTTTGCACCTCGTTTGTTCTCAATCTATCAGGAGATGAACACACGCAGTTCAGTAGCAATACCTGCTGCTGCTCTTCCAGCATCTATCACTTCTTTGTTCCCAGCACGTTGACAGTAGCAGAGCATCAGTGGAATTAAGGCAGCGATGCCTCACATTAGCATCCCAAACTGAGCAAAGGAAACTGAAGTTGCTGTCTAAAAGGCAGCTCAGCAGCAGGTTCCCTGCTCCTTGGCATCACAGGATTGAGCTGGGCAGCAATGCTGGCCCCAGGGATGCTCTGGTACCCACTGGAGATGCTCTGGGACCTGGAGCATCACAGATCTCAGTGCAATCGGGTGAGAATCAGCTCTGGATTCCCAGTTTGCTCACTTCAGTGTGCTCAACATTGCTACAAGAAGGACCACAAGGCCCCCAGCAAATCCCTCTGTATACTTACTCAAAATACTTAAATTAACAGGATTGCACAAGATAAATAAACTAAGTCTCCAGAGTGGGACAGAAGTGGCCTGCCACTACGGCCAGCAGCTCTAGGAGCACAGCCTCTGCACCTGATGCCATGGCTGTTTGGCTTTCTACCTTTATCACTTGTGATCTGACTCATCGGCCTCTTTACACTGAAATGTTATGTGCTTGTTGGTGCTGTCCCCAGGTCCTTGGAGCCGCGGTGAGTAACTGAACAAGGGCTTAAAAATGTGGCCGATTTGGGGCTGCGGCGCACAAGCTCATTCATCTTCCGTCACTCGCTTCTGCTGAGCTTTTGTTATTTATCACTGATGCAGTTTCCATGGAAGCCCCCAGATAAATCACAGCGGCTAAAATAAAGGAAGAAAGAGCGCGGTGGCTGGAGGAGGCAGCAGGTGATGGATGGCAGAGGGTGCAGGGCAGCGCCTCCGTCTCCTGGCCGCACCTGGGGGTCTGTGGTGCTGCCTCTCCAAAATGGGTGAGATGTGAATAAATGCAACACTTTGGGATCAGCTGCCTGTGTCAGGAAGTGCTGTTTTGGGTCAGGGGTTTGTAGACACACGAGTCTTCGTCTCTTCCCGTGTGTTTTTGGGGGAGATGAATTCTCAATACATTTCACCAGCAGCACACCCAGCTGTATTTGCTGGGTTCAGAGATGGCTCTGGAGGGCTGAGTGCCATGGACAGGATCTTGGACAAGGGTTTGCATGGTAAAATTAAAAAATTTCAAGTCAATATCTACAACTCGTCATATGTGAGAAAGCTCCTG